ATTGGTTAACAATTACCAGGTCTATCTTTTCAGATGTCTCTTCAAAAAAAAAAAAAAGAAAAAGAAGAAAGAAAAAAAAAAAACCCTTTTTCCAAGGGTTTTAACTACTTCACTACGTTGTTAGCGTGTTCTTATGTGCCTTTCATTTTGTTTATGTCACTGTATCGTTTAGTTTTGTCTCTCTGCAGTGGGTATTGTACCATGGTGACCTTGAGCACCTGCTGAAGATTCATAGGGTTATGAGACCAGAAGAATGACTTGTGGTAGTAAGGTGATGTTTGTATAGGTTTTGGATGCTTTTCAGGTTAAAGAAACTGTGTGATTGTTGTAACTGTCATGCAGAGAAAGATTATGTCTTATGAAGACAGTTCCATAGTAGAGAGAAGGAAATACTTTCATTTAAAACCAATTAAGCATTTCCTTTTTTTTTTCCTCTTTTCTTTCCGATACCTCCCATTCAGGCACCTAACATTGCACTGTCTTCATTCTGTTTGTAATAAGACTTTGCATCCTTTCCTTCCAAGGAAAAACATAAGACAGGCCTTATAATAATACACTTTAAAGGTGGGTAATTACCCTTTTATGTTCACAGGACAGCTGACTTTAAGTAACCAGCCCATGGTCACACAAGTCAACAAGAAAAACCACTTAAAATAGAACCTAAAAGTTCTGTTTTTCAGTTCCCATTTGTATTACTCAATGTGGTATTCATGGAGCAGGAACAGAACTCGTATATTCTCGTTTCTCAGCAATGGTCTATGCAAGTATTGTCTGGAGGTTTCCTCGGGCCCTTCCGGCATTGCTAGTAGCAGGAGATACAGCATGAGAGTTGCTTTTCATGGTTGAGAAAGGAAAGCCCAACAACCCCTGCAGAATGATGCTTTCAGAGCTTCTAATATTTAATTATATTTAATAGGTGTGCAGGTGATGAGAGAAAAACATCCTTTTTTTGTTGTTGTTGTCGTTCCATTTCTGTGGCTGATCATTTCAGTACTTCATTTTCTGTAGTGCTTTTCCTGCAAGGAAATAATGAATTAATAAGGTATTGGCAGTGTTGGCTCAGTAATGGTTAACAGCGAGTTTGCTGAGTCAGTTAAGCACTAGGCAGAGTCTCACACGCTTCACTTGCAGTTAGCACAGCTAAATGCCTGCAAGATCCACCTCTTTCACTGTGCATGGCGTATTTGGAGGGGGAGGCATTATTCTTTAAAATGAAGCTTATGTTGGGGAGGCAAACTGGGAAAACCTGGCAAATGGAAATGGAGGAGTTTGGTAACATGAATGCTCCTGATTTTCAGTATGCTTTTGCTCTGATACTGCTTACACACTTTTGAAAATGTCCTTGATTCTCCCTAGATTCTGACTGGGAGGAACACTAAAGGTGAGAGATACTGTCCAGTCCAGGGGTAGATTTTAGAGGAAAAATAAATAACAACCAGATCATTTCTAAACAAATGCTTGCTGTTTTAGCCGTGCTCATCCAGTGCACCCTAAGTGGAGCTCAAGGACCAACCAGCACAGTCGATGGTTTAACTAGTTTTCTGCTTTTGAACTGGTGTCAGTGGGGGTGCTTCATGCTCGAGATAAAGGGTGTTCATCTTCTGTGTCTTTGGGTGTCTGACACATCCTTAACCCAAGTAGTCTCTCTCTGAGGTTTCCCCATGCTGGTATCAGACCAGTGTCTGGTCTTGTGGCTTTTGCCTCTGATGAGAAAACTGCTTTAGTTTTCACATCCTGAGCATCAGATGAGACAGGAAGTTGCACCCTTTTTCTTGGTGTAACTGAGCTCCGTTGGTAGAAGAGCTTAGCTGCGACAGGAATAGTCTGAACAGAATCATCGTATGCTACCTGTAGACTTAGGGGCATTTTTAAAATTTTATTTATTCTAATTCGACATGCTTTTTTAGCTGCAGATTTTTCAATGAAGATATTCTGGATTCAGACTAGAATTAGGAATATAAAACTCAGTTCTGCTTTACAGTGTTTTCAAAATTCCAACTGAAATACAGATTTCTGTGTCTTGGCCTAAGTTTTGACACATGCTGTTTCCCTGTGGGGTATGATGTTGCCTGAAATCTGTCCTAGAGTGGGACGTAATCAGTGAGTAACATGAGGAGGAGATTTTGTGGTCAGTGTCTGGTCACATTCTTGCATTTAGGTATTTTCCTGTAGCTGTGAGCAGCAGATTCAGTTCTCTGTGTCAGTGCTGTGCAGGATGAGAGAAGTGCAGTGCAATACCTGCCTGGCAGTGACGCTTCTGGTATTCATAGGTGGAGAGTTCGGTGAGTTTGTGGCATGGTTGCAGTATTTCTGTGCAGAGGAGGGGTGTTTCGTATGTGGTGCCGTATAAGCACGTAGTGAGAGGCAGATCCTGGCTCAACCAGCAGACAATCTATGTAACCAGAAGGGGACCGTGGATGGAAAGAACTGGCTGAGGTCATCCCAGCAATGCAGAGTTGATGTTGGTGACATAATTTTGAGTCTAGCTCAAGTGCTTCAGTACCTTAGTGAGCGCTGGTGAGTTAGGGATGCTGAACAGGCACGGGATGGGCAATGGCTTGAAATTAGAACCACCTACATGTCCCATGTAGCACCTGCTTTTCTCTTTCCTTCACCTCTTTTCCATCCCTGTTGTTGTAGAGAAAGGAAAACTCTTTTTCCTTTTACACGTTCCCTGTTTACTGGATTTTTCTTGCTGCAGCTCATGTTTTTTCAGATCAACACTGGCTCCTGGCAACAAAACATTAAGCATCTTTTCCCATGTCTGCTGAAATTTTTTGTGCTGAGAGCCCTGTGCCTTGGATGTCAGCCTTGATTTAAGAGGAAAAAAGGGGCAACAGCGGGGAAAGGGGAAAGGGGGAGAAGTTGCTCTAAAAACACAGATGAGTTAAGTCTGTGTAAATGTGCCCCTCAGACCGTATTAAATCCTAACACTTGGCTCTTCCTCTCCCAAAGCTGCTTGTTTTACACTTGACCTGTGGTTCAGATCCCACGGCAGCTGCGCGTGCGGGGACAGTCCCTGCGCGAGCAGGGGCCGTGGCCGCGAGCTGGGGGCTCCACGCTGGGTCCTGCCACCTGTTGCCTTTTCCATTCCAGCCCTCCCTCCTCCGCCCTCGCAGCCCCGTCTCCCTCCCCAGCGCTCACCATCCCCAACGGAGAGGGCGGGGATCGGTCGCCACTTGCCAAATACCTTTCTAATGCTGTCACTAATTCTGCACAGGCAGCATATCTGAGAGCAAAAATGAATCTTTTCCAATGCTTTGTCCTGTGTTTTCTACAAAAAGCATTTAGAAATGCCTTTTCCTAGTTGGGTGGCTGGGAGGGACCGTGCCCTAGCCCTTTCTAGAGTCAGCTCTAGGAAAGCCTGAGGCCATGCCAAAAGAGTCCTTTGCAGATCCATTGAAGCTGGCATTTGGCACTGGCACGGGCTAATTTTGCACTTGCAGTTACATATATACACACCCATGTCATTCTACTTCATCTGCTACATATGGAAAGCTGCCCCAAGCTCCAGAGTGCCAGGGAATGTTTTACTAAAACCTCCAGACTTGGTTTGATTATGTTACTATGAACATTGGGCTGTAGAAGCCATAGAGTGGGGTCTGTTGCCAGATGAACTGGCATTAACTAAATATTCATCAGTTAGAGCTGGAGTTCTGCTCTGCTGCCCTGCTCAAAGGAAAGCAGAAGACTGTTCTTGCTATCATAGTGTCCCTGCAGAGTACAGTGTGTGAGAGGGACAGTACTGCTCTGGTTACAGAGCTGTTGGGTTTGCCTGCAGCTCAGTTGGGAGCCTGCTTTCAGTTGCACTTGTAGTCCTCAGGTAAAGTCATTTAGGCCACAGTTTTCAAAAGTGAGTAATCATTTGGAGAAACAGTCTTTGACTTCTCAGCTTAAGATGCCTTAGAGGGGATGGGCTTTCAGAGCACAAGACACTGCCAAGCAAGATCTTTTTTTTCATTGGCAACCTGACCTGCTTGGAAGTCTCTTGGGCTCTCAAAATTTTGCCCTTCATATGTGCCTGTGCATCTCTAAAACACAGTTATGAATACTTGTCTGCCCTCAAAAAGCAATATTGAGAGGTAAAGGTGGAAAAAAATATGATGCAAACATGAGCTATTGCTAATTATTGCAGCGTGGTTCTGCCACCTTACTTAGAGCCGGGTTGGATGGGAATATGGAAAGTATCCGAATTGCAAAAAGAAAGAAGGAAAGAAGAGAAACAAAGACAGAAACAAAGGTGGTATGTTCCTCTTTCATTATTTGTAGTCATGATGCAGAATGAGGTCCTGCTGATAGACTTGTTCTTGCTGGCAGGGCTTCAAGCTGGTATCCCCAATGCACCAGTTAAACCAGTAGTTACCATTTTTTTTTGCAAGCCACACTGGGGCTGTAGCAATTTTATTCCTTCACAGTGTTGAAGGAAAGGGATTCTGCTTGCCAAAGGGCTTTCTTATGCTTGAGGGTGATTTATGGGCCAAGCTGAGCCACTTGTGGAAAAGGCAAAGCAGCTCTTGGCAGCACCCGCAAAATTCACTGCAGCTGTGGGGTAGTGAAGTCATCGGCATAACAACCGCTGCAAACAGAATAACAAAGTCTGTTCTGTTCTCATTTAAAATAAGCTGTCCAGTTCAGCAACAGCATTAAAACTTACCTTTCTTGCACACAAAAGTGTTTTTTTTTTTTTAAAAAAAAGACGGATATATCTCTGCAGTATGGTGTAAATGTCTTGTTAATATTCCTGCCCAATTATTATTCTTGCACCATCTACCCTTTATCTGGGTATTTTCAGTGAAGGAATAAATCCATATATATTGTGGCATATGTTTGTCTCTGCCCCTTGTTTTGCTGTAGCATTTGTTGTTCCTTAAGTTACAATTATGAAATAACTATTTGCTTTAAAAATGTTAAAAAGATCAGTATTTCTTACTTTTAGTACAAAATTTGCCTTTGTCTTGTATCTTCTTCCTAAGTTTTTTTCCCATCTGTCTTTGTTTCAGATCCCTTCAGATCCTCCTGCTTCCAAAAAGCCCAAAATAGATGACTCTGCTTCCCAATCTCCAGCATCTACTGAGAAGGAAAAACAATCCAGCTGGTTACGGTCTTTATCCAGTTCATCTAATAAGGTGATTACTGAGTGCTTTGTGTTTAAAAGAGAGATGAAATTAGTTAGCATCCTTCTTGTGCAACCAGAACAGAAGATCAGGGAAAAACTTTGCGGAGTTTTTTAAATTTTCAGCAGTTCTCTGCTTTTCCTAGCAAACATTCAGCTGTACTGCTCCCCCAGTTTTCTTACCACTTCTGAACGTGCACTGGCCTTGCTTGTGAGGATGAAAAGAGGCAATTCCTTCATGCCTTTGAGGTAGAGGAGTCCTGAAAGGCTGAGAAGCCTCATGTGGTCTCTGCAAACCACATATAAATTCTTGGCAAAGGAACAACTGTGCAGGATTTTACATTAGTACAGTTCATCCCTTCCAGTAGAACCTGCTAAGCAAGTAGGTCCCAGCTAGTGGGGGATCAGTTTTAGAGATATCACAATGTGTATTTACAAGCATCGCCAGTGCTCCCTTGTGATTTATACTTCAAAGGATTGTCCAGTATTTATTTATTTTTTATTTATTTTTTATTTATTTGTCTTTCCTCTCCTTCCTAGAGTATTGGCTGCGTCCATCCCCGTCAGCGTCTCTCAGCTTTCCGGCCCTGGTCTCCTGCTGTATCAGCAAACGAGAAGGAGCTCTCCACACATCTTCCTGCACTGATCCGAGACAGGTAAGGAACACGACCTGCAAGGAAGGTGTTAGCAGCTGTGGAGATGCTGCAGCAAGTTGCTCTCTGATTGTTTGTAGGTGCTGCTGCTGGTGGCTTTGTCATTCCTTCAGTTCGGGCCACTGGCATCAGAATGAAAGCATTTGCAGCTGTGGTGTTTCAGTTAGGAGAAGGGAAAAAAACAGGCCTCCCAAAAGCGTCACTATTTAGTGCAGTCATTAGATGGATTTTCTTGGGTGAAGCAATGCCATAAAAGTCTGACATGGAGGCTGTTCTACAAACTGTTGATAATTTGGAGGTACCATCAAGGGCTTCAGTGTGGAGGGCTCCTGAAGGGTTGTGCCCTTCTCTCCGGGCAGGCGGCAGGGAGCGGGCAGCCATTTCCAGCAGCTACCGATCGGTAACTGCAGCCACTCTGGAGCAGGGAACTGTCACCACCCGCCAGCAGCTGCCTCCCGTCTCCGGTATGGACAGCACCATGGGAAGCCAAGGGACTTTACGGAAAGCCCAGAGCCCCTCTGCCCTCCGGCTGGGCCTGGGAGGTTCTGGGAGAGCAGGAGAGCTTGGAAAAAGCTCCTCAGTCTGTAGGATCCATAGAAGAGCTGAAAGGTTTTCATTTTAATTTTAATATAACTAGAGATCACATGTTGTAGATGCAGAATTGAAGCAGCAAAGGCAGTCTTGACTGTGGCTTTTGTAAACTTCTATGTATCTGCTTTTATAACATTAATGTCTTTTTAACATAGATTTTTTTATAAATGTAGATTAACATATGTGCATTCAGGGGCATGCTGTATCAAGAAATCAATGATGCACCAAAATATGCTGTTTGCACCCTTCACAACGTTTCTTCAGGGAGTTCTGTTCCCAAGGTTGCAAAGCGTTTGCGGATAGACAAGTAAAACTTGTCTATTTAGAAAAGTCAATAATGCATGAGGATCAAGGGGAAACAGCATCATAATTTTTAAACGCTGGGAGATACAATCTGCTTGGTGCTTAGAGTATGCGGCACTTCAGATATAATGCCTGCCAACTGGATGGAGATTACCTGCGTCAATATTCTGCACGTTTAGATGGATGCAAAACACCTACCAAACATCTAGCCAGATCCTTGGCTGGTGCAAATCAATGGATCTGCTTTGTCAACCTGTGTCTTGCTGTTTCAGTGTAACACATGGATTAGGAAACATGATAAAAGACAAGAATCTGAGTGTGTTCTCCTTTTTTTTCCTCCCTTTCTCAACAGTTTTTATTCCTACAAAAGCTTTGAGAGTGCCGTGGCCCCCAATGTGGCTCTTGCACCTCCTGCCCAACAGAAGATGGTGAGCAGCTCCCCGTGTGCCACGGTGGTGTCCCGGAGCAGCGAGCCCGTGGGCAGCGCTGCCCAGCCGCGGAAGAGGAAACTGGCAGCAGAGAACCCGGCCGTCCCCGAGGCAGTGGCCACTGCTGCTGCCGCCGAGGAGGAGAAGGAATCTGAAGCGGAAATTGAAGTAGAAACAAGGGAGGAATGTAAGTGACAGTTATATCTGCCTTTAATTTTTGTGTTATTTTACATGAGAATGAGTATTTTTTCTTCCATGTTTTTCACTGATGGTTAAATATCTCCCCTTTACAAAAGGGCCTCAACGCATTTTGACTTAGAGACATTTTTTATTTAGATATTTTTTATTAATTTTAGATGTTTCTGTTTTTCAGTCACCTCCTCCTTGTCCTCGCTCTCCTCACCATCCTTTACTTCATCCAGCTCTGCCAAGGACATGAGCTCCCCGGGGATGCAGGCGCCCGCTGCAGCCAGCGCTCCGTACGAGGTAGCAGCGCATCCTGACGCGCACAGCAGCGGCCTGGAAGCTGAGCTGGAGCACCTAAGGCAGGCCCTGGACAGCGGCCTAGATACAAAAGAAGCCAAAGAAAAATTCCTGCATGAAGTTGTGAAAATGAGAGTGAAACAGGAAGAGAAGCTAAATGCTGCTTTGCAAGCCAAGCGCAGTCTACACCAGGTAGATTTTTTGTGCCCTTTTTCTCTTTTTTTTTTTTTTTTTGAAGATAAGGCAAAATCAGTCCATGGAAATGGAGGATAGAGCACAGTCAGGTTCGCGTGTCCTTGGTAAATATTTTAAGGGAAAATGTAACCAAGCTAGAAATGTAATCCAGTAGATTAAACGAGGGCCTTGTTTCATCTACTCTGGGGGACAAAAAAAAGTATTTGTCAAAATCAGGTGTACACAGCCATTGTGTACTGGCACGTAATGGTTGTTTTGGGGAACGAAACACAGGGCAGTAGCTCAGAGATACAATTGTGTGTAATATGACTCTGCGGTGTTTAAAAAGTGGTAGTAGTTTCAGATACTCTGCTAGCAGGAAGGAGGAGGTGAAAGAGAGGTAATAGTAAGTGATTAGATATGAACACAATTGGAACTGTAAGCAGAGGTCGCCTACTTATATTCCTGCACAGGGTTCAGTGTAGCAGCCCAAATGCTGTGCTGTGTCTCATGTGAGGACACTTGTGTCCAGGTCCTAGTGAATGCATGTTTCACTTCATGCAATTAAAAGTAAGAAAAAGAAACACATTTCAAGTTTACATTTCATTTTTAGTTATGCAAATTAAATATGCAGTGTATACGTACAGTTTAAATATACAGTGTATAAATTATATGAAGCAGTTGACAAAACAGTTGAATATTGAGGCATTAAATCAAGCAGCACATGGGAATGAGAGGGAGTGAGAGGGAATTTGGTATCTGGCCGACGCATTCTGCACGCGCAGAAGGTCCCGGGCGCTTCCCGGGCCGGGGCTGAGGGCCGGGCTGGCGGGAAGGGAGGTTGTCGGGAGAGTGAATTTCCCATGACCCGGCTGCCGCCTTCCTTACCAGGAACACGTTACTGAGAGGGGTCCTCTCTGACAGGGAGGAAATGCTGCTTCTGGGGAAAAAAAAAAAAAAAAACGGAAAAACTGAACTGTAGCTTTTCTGATTTAACCATTTAGGAGATGGACCTTTAGGGGGACGAGTTTTTGTAAGCAGAAATATGCTTGTGATGCACAGGCCTCCTTTAACAACTCCTTAACAACCCTTAAAGGCTTTTTAACAATGTATTAGTTTCTTCTGCTGTCCTTTTAGTTTCTCATTATCACTTTAATTAATGGCTTTCTCTTTGATTTGAGATTTCATGGTAGCAGTTGAGAACATAGACAGTGAGAGACACAGTTCCCAGAGTGCAGCAGTTTAGGTTTAGCTGAGAGTTTTAGCCTGGAGTTCCCCAGATATTTATGACAGAGCAGTTCTCTAGCTACTTGCCAAAAGCCTTAAGGTAAGTTACATGCAAGTTACTGCAGCATAGCAGAATTGCTTCGAAGTTAGAAAGGTTTATATATGTGTGTGTGTGTGTATATGTGTGTGTGTGTACATATGTGTTTTTCCCCTTGTACTTTTCCTAAGGTTGGGTTTGTGGATTTTTTTTTTTTTTTTGGTAGGGGAGGGCTTGTTAAAACTGAGCTGCTCACTGATTTCTCCAGCTTTGCTGCACACAAAGGTCATCAAAAAACTACATTTATCACAACACTGTGCAGCTCCAGTTCAGAGTCTCTGCAGGTGCAGGCATTACGGTTGATTCATTTGGAACTTGGAGCTAGTGTAGGATGCGTTGCAAGGAGCTGTTGCCAACTCCAGATCATCCTTATTCAGTCACAGATGGTGACAGCTATTTTGCTTGACAAAGCAAACTGTGGATGTAGCATAGTGTTTTATTATCCAAGAATTCAGGGTAAGTTTGGCCTAGGATTTCATGCCCATTTGAAGGAGAAAAGTTTGCAAGAAGATTCGAACCAGGCTTAGATACATCTTTCCAGTCAGAAGAAACAGAATGGTGGGAATTTAGTTTGATCCCTTCCTGTGCAAGAAATCTGTCCCTGCTCCTCGGTTCTCACATGTCCAACTACTTGGCATTGCAGGAGCTAGAATTCCTAAGAGTGGCTAAGAAGGAGAAACTGAGAGAAGCAACAGAGGCAAAGCGCAACTTGAGGAAAGAGATTGAACGTCTGCGAGCTGAAAACGAGAAGAAAATGAAGGAAGCCAACGAGTCTCGGATACGACTAAAGAGGGAGCTGGAGCAAGCCAGGCAGATTCGGGTTTGTGACAAGGGCTGCGAAGCAGGGAGGCTTCGGGCCAAATACTCAGCCCAGGTAAGACCTGAGCACTGAAAAACAGTGGCAAGAAAGGCCATTGTCCTGCAGGTTTTAGAATCGGTTCCAGTGTCTGTTCTTCCTCTAATGCTGCTGGGCCTCATTTTCTCTAATTTGTTACATCTCCAACTCCATCTTTTTAATATCTGTGCCCCCATCGTGTCACTTTAAAAGCCTAGTTTTAATGCTGAATGTTAACAACTTTGCCTAGAACTTTGCATTTGTCAGCTGAAAATAGACATTTGCAGAGGACTAACATAAACGTTAGACATTACTTCAGTTCTACTTATATCCTACTGGCCATGCCCATACATTGCGATGCATTTCACTGTTGTAAATATTAGGCAGAGTCACTTTCTATAATAGGATAAAAGATAAAGATCAGCCCAGACCTACAGGAACTATTTAAGATGAAAGAAGAAGCTGAGGCCACCAGTGTGCAAGCTGCAGGAAGGAGTGGTGTTTACAGCGCTACAGCACAAGAAGAGCAAACTCTCAGGTCTTAGAAAATACTTGCAGTGTGATCTCAGTGAAAGTTCTAGGAATGCAGGAACATGCTGTTACAAGCAATGTGTATGCTTAAAGCTTTCAAGTTAAAAACCTTCCCACCCTCTCCACATCAGAGTCTCTTATAATAAGCAATTTTAAAGTTTATTTAAACCGTCCGAAGCCAAGTGAACCAAGAGCTCAGGCTGCACGTCCTTAAGTCGCCTTGTTGTGTCTTGGTGTTGCAGGGCATGTGGAATGCAAGGCCATCCACTGTTCCAAGCCCTCTGAAATGACCCAGCATAACAGGCTGAGCTGAGACAGAACGGCAGCCTCCTGGATTTCCGTGAGAAACAGTCCCAAAGAGGAGTCCACTGCATGCCCTGCCTTCCCTTCTTCAATAAAACCACCCCAGTTTCCCACTAGTACCTTTCCTATAAAGGGCCTGGTCTGTTGTTAACCCCCTCAAACTGCCCCTTCGCTGTAGGGCAGTTCCCAAACAGCCCCTTTCCTCAAGGCTAAACTCCCTGCTCTGATCAGCTCCCACATAAAACTTCTCTGCCCAACCACTTCCCCTGCCCAAAACTAAAAGGCGGGTTCAGAATGCATAACTAAAAGATACGGGTCAGCAGGTTTGAACAGTAAATGATTTCTGAAAGATGGGGCACATTTACCTATATTTAAACTCCCACAGCACAGAGATGGGTATCACTTACATGCAAATGGCACATAAGTAACATACATTTGCAAGAGGTTTAACTTGCATAGTGTAATACACCAGAATTAACGTTGAAGAGACTTCCTATAAACCATATTTAATATAGCAGTTTTTCTGATATTCTGTGTGTGCTGTTGAACATACGCTTCTGTGTGAAGTTGGATTGCATGTTATTACATGTAAAGCATGAACTGCAAATACTATGGTTATTTTAAGGAAGAGGTGGCAGTGGGCGGCGGTAAAAGGGAAAAGAAAAAGAAACAGAAATCTGAAATTCTTCTAAGCTCTGGCTCTCAATACCGGGAAGGGGAGTGGTGCATTGCCCCACTGTGAGACATGTCTAACCAGGAGACCAGAAGCAGGAAATGATGTGGCTTCCTCTCTAGCATCACAGGATGTCTCACTGATAAGAGATGTCCAGACTAAACATAACCAGATTGAGAGCGGCTGCGCTGGGCGTTACCTGCAGTTCACTTCCACTGCGGCAGAAAACAAGGCGACAGCAAGTGCAGATAAAGTAAACGGCACACTTATTGATTAGAGTTTAACAGATCCGAAGGTGTGTCCTGCCTTGCGCTGGATCGTGCACAAAGGCTTTGACAAAGGCGGTTTTCAGTCCTCTGTTACATTTCCTCCTTCTCGTGGCGTTTCCTACTATCAAGGAAAGGTCAAACTCACAAGAAGTAGCTGAAGATTTTGCAGGTTTGAGTCCTAAAAACCCAGCCCGTTTGCAGTGTCCCTTGCTGGGGGATGAGCAGAGCTGGAGAGCTGAGCAGCAGGATCAGCGCTCGCTGCATCAGGGCCCTAGGGCTACGGTAGGGCCAGGCCGGGGCAGCGAACGCGCCAGGTTCTGTGTGACTGTTCAACAGCTGCTTCTGAGAGGGCTGCCTGGCACTTCCTGTGAACAAACCCTATGTAACTTCAAAGCCTGACTTTTTACAAGAAATTAATAGGAGTAAAGCTTCTAGCTCATATAAAAAACAAAGCTTTAATACAGCCTTTTATCTTAACTCTAATTTGGCAAATACAGGAAGTTTCTCACCTTTGTATTTACTTATTATTTTCAGAAAACCATAATGCTGTAGACAGGCATAGCCTGAAAGGGCACGAGAGGAAACTCAACAGCAAATTCAGGGCTGTACATTTCTATATGCAAGCTTAAAGAATTAGGATGCTAAATTCTTACTGGATATTGCTGTGGTTTATGCTGCCCGTTTCCTTATCTTGGCACCGAGCTCCCAAGTATGGATGGGGCGTCATGGCAGCCTCCATTTTTGCCCCAAAGCGTATGGAGAACTCCTGGTGCTTCAGGGGATTCTGTTCCATCTCCTGCCACCACATTGTGCCCTCATCGCCACTCGATCCAGTCCCACTCACTGCTTTACTGTGGCCATCATGACCCCTTACAGTCCCTTACATTTAATACAAAAGATGTAAAGGTTTTGTGTGTACAGTTGTTTTCATGGGACGTGGCTCTTAAAGAGCTACTGAGTATGGATTTGGCCATTGACATTAATAACCATTATAAAATATCTGAAATTACTCTGGCTTTGCAAATATAGCTTGCAGTTAACTTTGCTGACTTGCTGTCTCCTAAAGAAATAATAAGGACATAAGATATATGTTGGCTGGAATTTCATAAACAATTTAAGGTACCCTTAACTATTCTGCTTTCTATATTAAAATGTTCCATTCTGATAGTTAAGCCACCAGAAGTATTTAATAATTTCAAAGCCAAACAGCTCCTGCAGTGAACTTGGATTATTGTACAGTGGTGTATGGAAAAAGCTGGTGGAAGGGAATTCCTCCCTCCACTTCAGCTTTGATCATCTTATGCCTGGAAACCTGAGGTTGTATTATTCATCTCACTTTGTGGCAGGCTACTAGTCTGTGTTTAATTGTACAAAATGACGGCGGTACTGAAGTGTTACAGTCGTTCACTGTGTTTTTCATGTGCTTTTCTCTAGATTGAGGACCTACAGGTTAAGCTTCAGCATGCAGAGGCTGACAGGGAGCAGCTCCGAGCTGACCTGATGCATGAGAGGGAGGCTCGAGAACACTTGGAAAAAGTAGTCAAGGAACTTCAGGAACAACTGTGGCCTAAATCAAGCAATCAACCCAGCAGTGAAAACACACTGAGCAACCTGGAGAACTAAACCACCACCGCAGCACCGACACCACATGCGGAACGCTGTGTATGCACAGTAAGGGAGGATGTGTGGGGGTACGTGTGTAAGTGCATGTGTGAGTAGTTGTGTCTTAGCACACATCCATGGATATGGACTCTGACATAGTTGGAAGGCAGATGTTACTCTTCATAACAGAAGCACTGAATTACATCTTTTTTTTCCCTTTTTTTTTTTTTAATCCATACAGCACAACATCTTACTGTGCCTATAAAACACAAAGTGTTTATAAACAAAATACTTATATCCACAGCAAATTTTTTACTGGCAGACTCCAAGCAAGCAGCACCGTCCAGCTAAAACCAGAATAAAAGGCAAGCATGGCAATGTTTTTATGTTGCCCTTCTGCCTGTTGGAACATTTTTTGGAATTTAAAAACAAACTTTTGTTATAAGCTATTTAAAATAATTCATTATACAGACTTGGTATTAAAACAATTAACGAGATTTTTTTATAATGAACCTTTAAAAGCAAAACAAAAATCTTCGATGCACAATTTTTAATGACTTGTTATAGGCTTTGGGATTCTTAATGTAGAAGCCCTCTGGTGAGGATGCCATTTCATAGCAGTTTTCCAGCCGCTTAGGAAGCCATCACAGTTTTAACCCTGTCACGTGGTTGTATGAGAATTTCAGAGTGCTTTTCAAGGTTGATTTTTTTTTGTCTTAGAAACAATTATCTTCATTTCCTGTGCTGAAGAAAGGAAGATGCAGGGAAGAGAATTGTAAGGGGGAGGGGGAGATGATGTGTGCTTGAGAATTATAAACCCAGCCTTACGGACTTCAGTGTTTGTAAACCATGCCATGTTCTCTAAAGACATCTTCATTAACTGGTGTGTTCAAGAGACTCACTTCATCCAAGAGCACTTCAGCTTTAGGAAAAGAAAGAAGGAAAGGAAAGAAATGGATGATACATTAAGTCGGTTGAGAAATAAGCAGAAGGCACATGTATTTTCCAAGTCATTCTGAAATCTTTATACTTCAGCTTTCTGTTTTCTGGAAGACTCATCTTTGTTGCACCATCTCACCATAAATTCAGTATTTACCTTATTCTGGACTGTCTGTCAGGATTACTGTGCCCAAGGAGAGTGCAACATCACGTTATCGGATACCACAGAAAACAAAACCAACACTTTTGCTGCTGTGAATAAGCCTTTTTTTTTTTTTTTTTAAAGTTACTTTAATTTTGGGATCCAAGCCGCAGCCCTGGAATGAAAATGCAGCATGTCATCACTTTGTGTTATTATTGTTGTTATTGTTGTTAATATTATTTTTTTAAAAAGAACTGCACTTTGTCAGAAACTTTCTTTGCATTTTATTCCATAGTTTTAAAGTTTACACAATGAGCATTCTAGCTTCTACTCTTGCTTAATAGATGGGAAAATCATCAACCTAGTTTTCCATCATGTGACACTGTGTCATCATTTACATTTATGCAAAGTGAGTATTCAGCAGGTATAGGATGCTACCAAATAAGAATTATCCAGAGCAGTGCACTACTGGTTCTACTTTAAATCTGTTTTTTTGCATGGCTGTGCGTAACAGAATATGGGAGGCAGGAGCGAGGGGGCTCCCAGAAGTGCTTAGCAAATGCAGTTGGTGCTTTACTGAACAAGAGAAAAGCATTTTTCCGTTTGTTTTTTTTTTTCCACCCACAAACACTCACCTCTTCTACACTCAATCTGATGAGCGTAAGATGAAAACTTGACCTGGGGCTGCAGATGTGCCTTCCAGCTCATTTCTCCTCTCAGCATGCTATATAGGAAATGCTGATGCTTTTTTTAACCTTAAAAAAAAGAAAAAAAAAGAAAAGAAAACCCTATGCATCATCATACACAAAAGTTATTGTAAACAAAGAACCATATTTCCAGTAATCTTTATTTGCTTTTGAACGTTAATCCCAGTAGATGGAAAGCGGCTGCCAATCCTAAAATTATAGTCTTTACTTACAGTATGTTAGAGAGACTTTTTTAAACAAGAGCTGTTTGCTTGAAATCATTATAATAACCATTATAATTGTGAGCATTAACAAGAAGTAAAGTTCATATATATGTTTTAGGTACAAAAAGAAGAAATATGAAAGGCGTAGAATTACTGGGACAATGTAGAACTGTGGGGAGCAAGAAACAGTTACAGCAAGTAAAACAGCTGAACGTGTCCGTTCCTCCAGGGCTTGGCCCTGCGGTGTTTGGGATGCAGGAGACTGAGGCGAGGTGCAGATCTCCTCTTCTGAAGTGCAATGCAAAAGGAATAGTGATTACGCTTATGCAGTTTTTTTATGTGGATTTTTTTTTCATCTTTGTATGTTTATTCTCTGCAATTATTAAATCATATGCATGGAATTAAAATCTCTGCCATACTTATATATTCACTAAGGGGCATTATTACTGTCTTATGTAAAGGGTTTAATTTTGTTATGCAGTATGCATAAAAGTGTTCTCAGCCTTATGATTTCCAGATCTGTATTATTCAGTTATTTCTTCAAGGGAAACTAAATAATTTTAGCTGTAGTTGAGCTTTTGTATTTCAAAGATCTGTCATATGCTGTGCTTTATTGCCATGTTAAGAAATTACACATAGAACAAATCTGCTTTTTCCTCCCACCACTGGCTTTTTTGAAGTCTTAATTTTTAAATTTTGGTCTTTTTACTGACTTCCAATTGTATCTCTCCTCTTATGACTCAAAGACAACAAGAAGCAGCGCAGCCATTTCTGTCTGAATTTGATTTTGTTTTTACAGGGAAAGTGGCCCACTTAACCTGTAGCATGTCATATCATTTTTCCTTCTTGTGTTGCTGGGCAAACTTACTGATTTACTGTCATAATTTCTTCTGTGCATATGATGGCTTTTTGGATACTCCAGAATTAGTAAATTCTAGGATAGTAAATAATCTCCTCACTAACTGTGTATCAACCAGCATCACCTCTGTTTCACAGAATTCTCCATAATGAAGCTACATGCTGTTTCTTCTTTTGCTGTGTATTATGACAATTCTGTAGTCATATTTGGCCACTGAACTTCATAATGTTGGAAGTTAAGAATCTTTAGTAATGGATCCTAGGGAGTAAAAACATCCTAATACTTTTTTTAGAAATTATGGTTTAAAAATGTTCCAGAAGACTGGGAACAAACCTACACCAGCAGTCAAATGACAGGAGAGGTTTACAGGATGGGTTTCTATCTTAAATCATTTTGTCTTTTCAAAATACATTTAATAGTAAAATCCTAGTATTACTGTAATCTGTTTCTAATTCATAATTCATGTAATTTATTTACCACTGAATCTACAAAATGTCTGTCCAAACGGTGGGAAACTTTAGAGGAAAAACGTGTCTGTGATGGTGCTGGAGGTGAGTGAGTTCTGTGTGTAATTTCTGCTGGCAAAACTTCCCTGGGAAGCGGCAGCCCTGCCAGGCGGAGCTGCTCCTCCTGCCGCGTCCCCCGCGCTGCCGCCGCCGGAGCTGTACAGTGACACTTGGGTTTATCTGTCCTTCAGGTTCCTTTAGGAAGTTGAAAGGGAGAAGAGGTGTTACATACAGGCTGTTGACTCTCCCTGTACATAAAAATGTATTACTTAATACTTGTATATTCAGTTTAATTACTCATTGTTTCTATTTCTGAAAGAAGACTTAACGAAGGGAAAAAAAAACAACAGCAATAACATTCATATCTATGGAGCAGCTAACAAGTATACATAATATTCTGCTTTTCAAACAGAACTAGCCAATGTAAAAAAAAAAAAGTTAAAATTAAATTCAACATGTAAATACTTTTTTTCATTTTACACTGTTGTATTATAAGTGTATATGGTGTTTACTTTTTCAGAACTCTTTCTTACCTGGTAGTTGTCTTGTTTTGAGAGTTGTGTTTTTAACTAAGAACCTTTGCCGTCTGTTAGGAAAAACAGCAACAAAAAAATCTTTTTGCAAGTTTTAAATGTGGGTAACCTTCCTCCATCATTTGCATTTTATTCACCTTCTTTTTCACTGTAGAGTACTTAATTATCAAAAGGTTGTTCCCTTCCCCCTCCATTCTGACCTCCCATAAGTCCCTGTGTTTTAGAGGGAAGTTTGTTTTGTTTTTTTTTCTTAAAAGAAATCACAGAAATGACATTTTTTCAACTGAAGAAAAATAAATCTTTACATTTATAATAGCCAATAGCATTTCAGCACATTTTTGTTATCCTGGTCTCTCCTATGCTGCTGCTAATGACAATATTATGACTTACTCTACTATTCTAGAACTATTTTTATGTAAGTAATGTATGCTTTCTTGTTTATAAATGCCTGATTTAAAAAAAAAATAAGAAAAAAGCTTGGCATATTTATCTATTTCGCTGTGTACCTTGATAGTCCTTTTACACCCCCTTTTCCACATCCCCTCCCCTGGAAGCAGATAATATTGTAAAATAAAGGACTTTATGAGATTATGTATGAAAATAGCTATGCTTATATACCACAGTGACTGAATGTACAGTGTATAGACGCATTACCTAAAATAAAATTGTTTGTCCAGAAAAAAAAAGACTTCATTTTTTGGGCTCTTGTGCCTGCACTTATGGCCTAAAATGTTCAGGCCTGGTCACTTCAGTGACCTCACAGGTATCAGGAAAAAGTGCCAGGTATTTTACAGTAGACAACATTTACTAGTGACACTCCCCAGTTCAAGTGCCCCATTTTCTGCATCCTTCGCAACCAGGAGCCTTGCTGAAGCATCACTCGGTTTCTGCAATACTGAAGAGAGACAGGAAATGCATTGGAAAAGATGTGGTCTTGCAGGGAGATTCTATTGAAAAGTGAGACGTGCAAGCACATAAAAATTTGTACCAGGTCAAAGAAAAAGAAATACAGAGGAAAAAGGCAGAAAGAAGATGGAAACATGTTAAAGTTATTCTCTCATGGTCTTCTGAGAAATGGCAGCAGAATTTCCGTAGTGCTGGTACGTTTATTAACATGCCCTTGTAAAGCAGTGGAAAAGCCAGAGAACGATCAAACAGGGCCTGAAAACTTTGTATTTCTGATTCGTGCAGACTTCCTCACTGAGGGGTTTGTGTCGCCCCTCTTCTCCCCACCGTGGCTAAGAAGGGACTCAACCTTGTTTGTTTTTTCTCCGTTAGCTGGGGCTAACTTGGAAACCAGGCCTTGGCCCCACGCATGGAAATCTCCACTGCTCCGCTCCAGCCCTATTAAGCACATTATTCTTGGACTACCACAATTCAACTATCCTGAATTAATCTGGCTACACTTCACTCCAGGAGCCTTTACAAGAGTTCTGTAAGAATTCTACAGCAATTCTTACTAACGTGTTATATCACCAAACTTACAATATGTAACAGTAACATAAAAACCAAACTTACAATATGTAACAGTAACAGGTATAAACATAAAATAAAATCCATATTATTAAAATAGATTTTCTATATTGCACAAAGTCCTGGGGCACTACTGGAACCTGCTTTTACACCCAGACCCACCTGCCATCAACCCTGTTGGCGGCTCCTGCAGCATTTGGGGCCATTCTCTTGCGAGAGGCTTTGGGTGTGTTTCGAGTTTCCTCTTACAGGAAACCCGAACGGCTCTTTGAGCATAGACCTGGCTGAGCAATCCAGAGCCCCGGCCACAAACAAAAATCCAGGGCTCTGCTTTTCCTGAGCACAGTAAAAACACTTGGAGCGCAGCCCAGCTACAGCTAGCGATGTACCCGGCTATCTGACTCGCAGGACTTCTTCATATGCTTAGGTAAACCTTGAAGTAAGTTTAATTTCATGACTAGAGATAATTCAAGCTCATTTCTCTATAAATCCTTACTGAGCTATAGTCTGTGCCTCAAAGCATTGTTATTCAAAACAGGGACAAAGAGGAAAAAAAATCAATAGCAAAGGGAGATGAGCTCCAAGCTCAAAGTAGCTGTCAGAGATCAGAAATCAAAAGGTTTTTCTGAGCGCTGAAGTAAAACATCTTCACGTCTTATTGAACACTAGTGGTCAGTGATCAGAGGAAAAAATACTGATGCCAAACACACTGAATAGTTGGTTAGCAAACTTGTACAAAGGACAACTAAAATAACGGCTCTGAACTAGCAAAACTAGGCTTAAACAGCTCAACACATATCAGGAATTTCTGCGGTCCAGTAAAGAGCAGCCCTTATTTACACGTAAGCGATGAATTAGGAGGGTCAAAGGAAAACTTTAATGCACACGTAGGAGAGCAGAGGCTCTCTTCCCCCCTCTCCAGGGGGGTCCTGGTCAAGAAGCTGAGGGCCCTTCTTACTGCCCACATCTTGTGCCTTGTGTTCATTTTCTGGGACGATCCTACAGAAACATCTCGGCACATCTGCAGGAAACTGCCAGAACTCACAGGAGATGAGAGGAACCAGGGAAGCAGTAAAAACCCAGGAGTGTCAGAGTTAATGATGATATGTGAGTAATCCAGTTATAAAGGTACCATCAGTGGGAAGAAAGCACAAATATAATAAAACCCAGCTGTATGACGTACGCTCCAGTGGAATTTTTATTAGATGGTTTATGTGCACTTTAAGTATACCTGACTGCAATGCAAATTCCCACAGACTTGCACTTGATAGGAGAGAAAAAAAAAAACAATCCCTACCTCTCTGTACTCAGTACTGTCATCAGTACTGATCTAGTTGAAGTGTTTTTTTGTGACCATGGGGTTTTTTTGGCTCATCTTTAGGGCTTTACTTTTGTATTTTTCTGCTGAGTCACCTTTTTAATATGGCCCCTTCAGGATTTCATTCTTTTACCTACTTGTCCGGGGCTGGCCCAGCTAGCCGAGGCCTTTAGCTCTTCTACCAGCCCTCCCAAATAGCATTTTTTTTTTTCCTCTGCCCTATGTGTGCTTCAAGAGCAAGCAAAGAAAAACCTGCAACAATGCCTTTATTAGCTGGTAAGAAAAAAAAAAAAAGTCATCAGTAGCCTACCTTTATGTGCCAAGGTACAAAGCCAGGTACTACATAAAGCATTAACAAAGCTGATGGCCACAGCCTGCAGACAAGACTGATTCATGCTGTAAAGTGGATTTTTTTTTTTTTTTTGTAGTAGCCCTGGTGATGATGCTCCTGCTGTTGACTGTATGTCTCCGCCTTCTTATTTAATCACATACTGAGTGGGACGTTTATAACAGGCATCTCCT